TCACGTGGTGGGTCAATCGTACACAAAAATGCATTGTTAAAAATTTGACTTAGAAATTACAATAGAAAATAGTGATAGTGGATTGTGTTAGAAGTCAATAAATTACTTAAAACTAGGTGCCTCTAAATCTGTAACATATTGAAAAAATGAATGTAAAATTTTACTTCAATGGAGCGTAAACAAAGAGATGGAGGTATATATCATTGTTTAATTAATTGTTTTTTCAATGGATTAAATAATAATAATAATAATAATAATAATAATAATAATAATGGAAAATTAATGTAATTCTAAATTTGCTTCTTAATGTTTTTCCCATATTGATTATTGTGGATGATTACCTATGCGTTATTTCGATCTTGAATATATGTAGTTGCATATTAAAAAAAAAGTTAAAAATGTCAAAATTTTAATTATTTATATTGAGAGAGAGACACACCCAAAGAGACATTGCGGTGGGGCTCTAACTTTTGATATTGAATAATAACTTATTTAGATAACAATGGAGTATTTCTCGATTTATGTAGGACAAACATAGAAAGGAAAGTGTTAAAAGTTAATAAAAAATGGACAAATTATAAGTTTTTACATGTCTTAAAAATTCATGCAATAGTCATAGACGGAATAACATTATCTCTTAGATGATAATATGAGATGAAATCATGAAGATAAAGATAACTAACAAGTCACAACAAAATCTTGTTCTAATATAGCGATAATTACAACTCTAGGAGAATCAAACCTCTAATCTCATGGCTAAAAAGCAGAAGAGATATCATAAGAATTTACTTATCGAGACTTTATTAATATGACATACTACCAACTTTCTATTTAGATTTTAGGACTACGGAAGTTTGGAAACTTTAGCTATACATGGTAAGTTGTCTAGCAATTTTTTAGGACACAATCATATAATTCTATTTGGGCTAGAACAAAATAAAATAAAAATTGACGCAGATTGACCAAACTAGAAAACTTGTGTGACTTTAAATTCAATAATTAATTAATGATTGAGAGTGATGGATACTTCAAGTGGTTAGAGCTTCTCTCCCGATTCCAGGAGATCATGGTATCGATTCTTATCACTCGTTCTTGTGGCTCTCTAAACACCAAAAACATAATTAATGAATAATTTACATGACATATTAATTACTTGCCATAAACCCAAACAAGATTCAATTAGAATACACTTTTTTTAATACAAACTATGAAGCAAAAATTTAATAAGTTAAATATGAATCAAATTGATTGGATCGTACTAAATCAAGCCTTATTGGAGTAACCTGTTTTCTTTGAATTGCTTATCTAGCTTTGAAATGTAGATGAGATTTTAAACATCATTATTAAAATTGAGAGCACTTTTTTAAAGTTAGGTAAGATGTTGATACTTGATAGGATGCTTACCTCTACCACTTACCCATTTACGTATAGCCTTTCTTTGGCCCCTTAAATTCTTCTTGTCTCTCATTGTGTTGGATGAATTGAATGAAGAAGTTTAGTGAAATACTTAAATAGATTTTTTTTTTTTTTTGGATGAAGTCTACTAGAATTACTTTTTTAGATTTATACATTTCTAAAATTTAACCTTGTTCTTGCAAATCTGCTTCCTTTGTTTCCAAGCAATACGGATTTTACTGTATACTTTTACACAATTTTCAATTCTATATTTAAGAACAAAAAAAATTCAATATGTAGTATAAGAAGAAAACTGATACATACTATGTAAAATACTAAGAGATGAAAATAAGGAGCTAAAAGTCAAAAATTAATGGAATATATTATTCATTACATCTACATATTTGTGAGCTTGTCATGTATTTCTCAATTGATACCAAATTTGAAAGATTTTAAAAGAGTATAATATCGAATTCTTAAAATATTGAATGTATGGACCACAAAATTTCTATTTATTTATTATTATTACCAGACAAAAGAGTATATACTTTGATTCTTGGTTCCTTAATACTTGTATATGAACTCTAAATACACCCAACTGTCTCTACGTATAATCCTACTTTTACAGGATATTTTGCCCTTGTTTCATAAGTATCGTTACATTTTGAAATTTGACACTATTTAAGAACTCAATTTTGACTAATACTTATGATTCATGCTAGTGGAAAAATAGTCATGTGTAAAAATGTTAGATTTGTCTCTCTCTATATATAATTTTGAAACATCAGATATTTTCTTATAAAACTATTAATACATACTAAGAGATTTTACTGGCCATAGATTTACATTGTCAATTGTGAAAAGATTAAGTGTAACCAGGCCATTTAATGTAAAGGTTAAGTGTAACCATTTTAATGTAATGGAGGCAATAATAGATTAGAAGTTACGTTGTAACATATGTTCATGAACCTCATCAAATTTCAATGTTGCTAATTACTAAATCTTATATGCATAATATATATGTTTAGGTCATTTGCCGCGAAAGATGAGATATTCTGCTTATTTGAAGGAGCACTTCACAATCTAGGCAGTCTAAACCAACATTATGGATTATCAAAGACAGCCAATGAATCAGTTTTGATCATTGAAGCGTACAAGGCACTTCGTGATCGAGCTCCACACCCTACAAACCATGTTATCGGCCACCTCGATGGAGACTTCTCTTTCATTGTTTTCGACAAGTCTACCTCCACCTTGTTCGTGGCATCGGTGTGTATACTACGTACATCCAAATATATATACATATATATAGCAATCCGATTCTTAAGAATTGTACGTAATAGACTTGTGACATCGATCTTTTGTTGCAGGACCAATCCGGTAAAGTTCCTCTATACTGGGGAATCACTTGTGATGGGTACGTCGCCTTCGCTAATGATGCAGACTTGCTTAAAGGTTCTTGTGGCAAGTCACTTGCTTCTTTCCCTCAAGGTAGGTGCTTGAGTATGACTTGTTCAGATTGCGATTGATATCGAACCCAGTACCCTAACTATTAAATTACCTAGAGAACCCTGAGAACACTCTTCTGGTACAAAATATTGGATAATATAGGTTGAAAATGGACCAATAATATAATATGCTCATATAAACACAAATAAATTAAAGTATGATATTATATCGAGTGAAAATGAAGGAATCCACTCTCACAACTAACATCTATTGCAACCAATTTTACCAAACATGTCCTTATTGTAATATATATACGTGTACCTATTACTTTATATTATCTTGTCCGTTATGCTCATGATACGTTTCACGAGGGAGCCCCATTTCCTCATTATGAGAAACACTTTTGTTTCTCATAATGACATTTTGGAAAATAATGTGATGTTTTTCACTGGTGGGGACCGCGTATGTGTCATAAGTGGGAGCCCAGATCTTGACACATGCCCCATGAGAAACAAAACTTGTTTCTCACAATGAGAAACAAAACTTCCTTACGTTTTACCATGTAATCAGTAACAAATTTGATTGAAATTTGGCACGCTTGTTTTGCAGGGTGTTTCTTCTCCACTGCCATAGGAGAATTAAGAAGCTATGAGAATCCTAAGCACAAGGTTACTGCTGTTCCTGCTACTGATGAAGAGATGTGGGGTGCCACTTTCAAGGTATACGAATGATCAATAGACTTAATTTAAGCAAAATATATGTGAGTTCATAGTAGCGAGTTAGTGACAAGCATACTAATCAAAGTGTGTTAGGATCAAAGTCTCGTTGACTTACACAAAGCAAACATTCTAATTAATTAAAAGGTAATAAAAAAATATATGATTTGAGTTAATATTTAGTTTATCACAGAATTTGTGAATGCACCTAATCTGAAGTACTTTAATCACTAAATAACCTTAGTTTGAGCGTTAAAAAACTTAAAAAATTGACTTGTTAACATTATTCTTAACATAGAGACGGCATTGGAGAAAATGGCTTAGTTTTGTATATAGTACACAATATTGACCTATCTTGCCTAAAAATCTTACAAGATATACTACCAAAAATAACTATACAATAATATATTAACAACCAACCGACTTTCAAATCCAATTAGTACGTCGTAAAGAGAGATGAAGTAATTAAGTTTACAAGACTTAAATGATCCTAAATCTATAATAATACTAGGTTAGGTTTGTTCGAAACGAAACAATGTTAAGAAAATCACTGTTTTGTAGGGATGATCTTTCATTATTTATACATTGATAAACATTGGATCCCTTGATTTGCACTTAGGTTCCACAAATCACAATAATGTAAAGAATTGATTGTGTATGTCCAAAAGCCACATCTAAGTAGTTATAGCCACAAATTTAAGTTTCATACAATTGAGTTAATAAGACACATGATTGGATATATTTGGATGATGTTTTCAGGTTGAAGGGCCAGCAGTATTGGCAGCCACAAAATAGAATTGTCACTCCAAAGTCGGTGTCTTCACATTCAAATCAATCTATCATCATCCAACATTTAATTTGTAGTCACTAAATTTGTGGTATAGGGATGCCATGTACAGATAGATGTATGTCTAATAAGGGTGAGGGTTGGGTGGCCGAGTGGGCGGGCGGGCCATGTCGGGCGGGTTGAGATTTTGTGATAATCAAGTTTATCATATATTATTGTTTGTGATGTGTGGCTTTTTATGTTTATATCTTTGTAAGAATTTCTGTCTAGGGTAATATTATTTTTTTTTACTTTTCATTTTGTGGTAAGGTCTAGGGTAGTACTTGGTAAGGTAAGTTGTCAAAAAAAAACTTGGTAAGATAAACATATTGGTGTCCCATGTAATGAAGTACTCATAATTTATCACTATGCATAGCTACATTAGCTACTACATGTGATTTTAATAAATTTCGCCAAAGAAGTTGATGTTATTATTTTCTTTTGTTTCTTATCTATTGCATATTTGCATGGTCTTTAAATGACGATAATATTAATGAAGAACTTCGTACTGTCATGATATATGAATTCAAAGTGGGAGACTAGTAATTAAATGAACCATATAAGTTTGTGTTGTTTTGATGAAGACTATATCGCTCATTGTTTCTTCAACAACGATGGTGAACTGCAAAACTTTTTTACATCTAAGCGACAAAGTTGGCCAAGTATTCAAAGGAAAAAAAATTGATGAAAGGGTGAGTGATGATGGAGGGGTTAAAGATCCATTGAATGGGCATAATTTAGTTTTTGGTTATCTAGGTAATTAGAATTGCGAATTAAAGATTTTATAGTGAAAGAGGAGACTTGAGAAATTGCCGAAGGTGTAGGGAGAGAAAGGGATCCACTTTTACTAAATCAAGCGACTAATATGTTAACCATATTAAAGGACCGACTTTTAAAGAGGAACTAGTGTGTGGCTCGGGCAATGCCCCGGGTTACTAGTTTGTACTTCTTTAATTTAATAATATGTTCGACTGTTTGTATAGCTAGTGTATGGTCTGAGCGTTTGAGTGTATTTTCTTTTTTTTTAACCTCATACGAAGTATGTATTTATTTTCTAATCTTGTGAAAAATAAATAAATTATATAACCTCTAATTTACATAAAAAATGAAAGGAATATATATAATGTTAATTATGTAAAGTTTAAACATTAATAAAGTTGGTTAAAATGGTAAATGTATAATTTTTATGTGTTAGAGGTTATAGGTTCGAATCTAACTCAAAGCATAATATTTTTTTAAACGAAATGACAAGCTTCCGTGACGCTTTGGATAGTAAGTGACGTGGCAAAAAAACAAAAAAAACAAGTGTCCAAAAGGTGAAAAAACCTAAATTTTAGTCCTAATTCATTTAATGTTGATGATCATTCATTATCACTTTATAGTTAATATTAGTTGGTAATAATTATTGATAAGAAAAAGAAAATATTTTGATGAGGACAAAAATAATGATGAACGTTGTGATGAGGCAAATTGTATCAAACCCGTCTTTTGGGCGGTCCAAGAGGACATATACAACATAATCTCCCAAATAAATGTGGCCTCCAATTTTGTTACTCGTACATACGTATTTAAACTTTGGCATCAAAATACACAAGAAGATGTAAATTGTTGTTACGAGACTTACAACAACAACTAGACAACTGGATCGTGTTACTTCATTTTGGGCGGAAAGTCAAGATAACAATCCTGCAAGGCTATTTTTGATGGGCCTAATATTTGATCCAATTTTGATTGCTCGGCAATTTCAACTTTTCAACTTTTTAACTTTTTAAATAGAGGATATTCGGAGACCCTTCTCACAAGTGAAGCTCCTAATGCATTTGTGGAGAGAATGGTAGAGAGACGAGATATTCAAAAATAAACACTTTGCCTTTTAAATTTAGTTATTATGATATCATTCAACACTAATTAATAACATTATCACATGTTCCCGACTAAATTGTTAATTATATTGCTATTTATTCATAAAGCTAGTACGAAACAATATACAGTAGTAGTTTAAGTTTTATATTAAGTACAAGTATAAAAAATAAAAATATTTGATTAATGTTATTTATGAAACAAAGAGAGCAACCTACTAAGTTACTAGCATTCAAGCATAATAAATGGACACTTGTAAATGGGTGGGGAGGTCCCTTCCATTTATTGAGCATACTTATTAGGTCATTGGGGGGAGTTGTGGGCCTTTGCGTGGGTCTTCTTTGATATGTAACAATCCATTTTGCATTATAGGCCAGCTGCTATTCAAGTCAAGGCTAGCCTCTTTCATTGTCATAAGTTGCCCATGTTATACCATATAGGGGTGTTCAGTCTGGGTACCGAAGTTTTCAGGTATCTGGAAAAGCGGATACCCGCATCTTCGGGTAATTAGAAACTCGGCCTACGACCCGACCTAAGAAAATCGGGTACCCGGGTTTCGGGTACCCAGATTTGGATTGCCCGGATTTTTTTAATGATTATAATTAATTTGCTCCCAGTAAAGAAATGATTAACAATCTAGATCTACTACCCAAACTCCACACAATAGTACAATAGTAATATAGTATAATTATAGACTTATAGTACAACCAAGATACAAAATAACCAATTACACAGCTTTGTTTCAAAAATAATAAAAAAAATTGAAATATATAAAGAATTAGAAGAAATTAAAATATAATTAGATATTGCATTGGCATCAAGGAACTGGATCGTACATATGAGAATAAATAAATAAATATATAAACAAAATAAAAAAAGAACATTGGTATTTGGTACTGTTGCAAGTCTTGCAACATAGAAAAGGTTGATTAGAGGTGGAGTAGCGACCACCGCGACATTGTTGGGCGAAGTAGCAGCGGCCACCAGTGACGGAATTAGGCGAAGCAGCATCGAACCAGAGACGGAGGTGGACAAAGCAGCGGTAATGACGGAGGAATGGGCGATTGCAGAACGAGAGTGAGGGAATGAGAAATGCGGTTGAGAAGAGGCTTTGAGAGTTTGAGGAATAGAGAAGTAGGAAGAAGCGATGGAATTGAGGCGTGAGGAATTGAGGATGAATTGAGTGAAGAAGAGAGAGAGAGAAAAGAAGGTTGTGGCTGCATTTTTTCGAGGGAGTGAGAAAAATAAAACCCTAGGAGGGTGTTTGGTATTTGGGAATTGAGGGTGGGATTAGGAGTTTTAATTTCAACTCAAAAAAAAATGTTCTGTTTGTTTGAAGGGAATGGAAATGGGAATAAAAATAGGTTTGGGAATATGAATATTTAGGGGACAATTCCCACCATTTTATTACCTAGGGAGGGTAGGTAATAAATGGATGAGAATGCGAATAAGTTTAAAATGACATTTTTGCCATTAATGAAAACAATAAAAGGAAATATTAGTAACGGCAAATTTGCAAAATTGTTATTTATTCCCTATATATTCCAACTCAGTATCCAAATAAGGTATTAGAGCCCGTTTGGTGGGGGGTATTCAAGAAAGGGAAAGGTAATCAACTACCTTAAATCTCTTTGATGATGTTTGTTACACAAATTCAATCATTCCCTTTACCCCTTCTATTACCACATTTTCCTCTACTTTGAATCCCGCCCTCCCTCTAAGAAATCACTCTTATTCCCAAACTCCTCTTCATTCAACTACCTTGACCACCTTATAACTACCTTTGACCAACCTTGAAAACACCAACCAACCACCTAGAACTACTTTGATTAGTGCTATTTTGCAGAATACTCTTCCTAAGAAATTAGACGATCCAGGTAGCTATTCAATTCCAGTGAAGCTTGGAGATATTGAAATTAACAAAGCATTATGTGATCTTGGAGCAAGTGTGAGTCTTATGCCACTCTCTATCTGTAAGAAGCTGCAAATGGGTGAACTTAAACCCACACGCATATCTCTACAACTTGCAGACAAGTCAGTTAAATTTCCTTTGGGTGTACTTGAGGATGTACCTCTTCGCGTAACTAAATTCTTTATTCCCTGTGATTTTGTTGTGATGGAAATGGAGGAAGATGCACATGTTCCTATTATTCTTGGTAAGCCTTTCTTAGCTACTACAGGTGCAATTATTGATATGAAGAATGGTAAGATCACCTTTGAGGTTGGTGACGAGAAAATAGAATACTCACTCTTGAATGCTATGGGTACTCCCTCTATGGGAGAGACTGTTTGTCAGGTAGATGTGCTTGATGATTTGCAGAATGATCAACTTCCTTTGAGCAAAACAGATGATGCACTTGAAACAATGCTAGTAGGGTAGGATGATGATGGAGATTGGGAATCAAAGGAGTATATCAGGCTACTTGAAGAAGCAAAGGCCAACCCAGTCACTACTCCAATCAGGGAAGTACTTAGTGCAGTGAGTGTTGGGGAGAGTACTACGCCTCCCGAGGTAGAGTTGAAACCTCTCCCCTCTAATCTAAAATATGCATATCTTGGTCCTAATAATTCATACCCTGTTATTGTTAATGCTGAACTCAAGGACACAAAATTGGAGCAATTTCTCACTGTTTTAAGAAAGTATAAAAGTGTAATTGGGTACACCATTGATGATATTAAGGGTATTAATCCTTCTTTTTGTATGCATAAAATCATTCTTGAGAACGATCATGCTTCCTCTATATAAAACCTCAAAGAAGGCTTAATCCGAATATGATGGAGGTAGTGAAAAAAGAGGTTCTTAAATTGCTTGCTGCAGGAATAATCTACCATATCTCAGATAGTAAGTGGGTTAGCCCTGTACAAGTAGTACCAAAGAAAGGGGGCATGACCGTTGTCAAGAATGACAAAGGTGAGCCAGTCGCCACTAGGCCTGTTACAGGGTGGCGAATGTGTATTGACTATAGAAAATTGAATAAGGCCACTCGGAAGGATCATTTTCCCCTACCCTTTATTGATCAAATGCTTGAAAGGTTGGCTAAGCATTCCTTTTTCTGTTATTTGGATGGATATTCTGGTTTTTTTCAAATTCCTATTCGTCCTTGTGATTAGGAAAAGACTACATTCACATGTCCATATGACACCTTTGCATATCGCAGGATGCCATTTGGATTATGCAATGCTCCAGCCACTTTTCAACGTTGTATGATGGCAATTTTTTCTGGTCTTATAGAAAATTCTTTGGAAGTATATATGGACGATTTTTCTGTCTATGGAACATCTTTCGATGTATGTCTTGAAAATCTGAAAAAGGTGCTCCATAGATGTAAGGAAGTCAATCTAATTCTAAACTGGGAAAAATGCCATTTTATGGTACAGCAGGGAATTGTCTTAGGTCATGTGGTATCGAATAAGGGTATAGAGGTTGATAAGGCTAAAATAGAGGTCATAGAGCGTTTACCCCCTCCAAATTCTGTAAAAGGAGTTCGAAGTTTCCTTGGTCATGCAGGTTTTTACCGTCACTTTATTAAGGATTTTTCAAAAATAGCTCGACCTCTAACTGAGCTTTTAGCTAAGGATGTTCCTTTTGTCTTCATTGATGCTTGTCTTGAAGCTTTTAACAGGTTGAAGGAAGCTTTGATCTCTGCTCCTGTCACGTAACCCCCAGATTGGAGCTTACCGTTTGAACTCATGTGTGACGCTAGTGACTATGCGGTAGGAGCCGTTTTGGGGCAACGAAAGGATAAAAAGCTTTATGCTATTTATTATGCTAGCAAAACTCTTAGCTCTGCTCAAATGAATTATGCCACAACTGAAAAAGAGATGCTAGCTGTAATTTATGCAATTGACAAGTTTCATTCTTATTTGGTTGGTTCAAAAGTTATTATTCATACAGATCATGCAACACTAAGATATTTGATGAGCAAAACCCGTGCAAAACCTCGGTTGATTTGGTGGATCCTTCAATTGCAAGACTATGATATAGAGATTAAGGATACAAAAGGGACAAAGAATGTTGTCGCGGACCATCTCTCCCGCCTTCTCCTCGACCCTGAGGATGGGGACGATATCCCTTTTGATGATTCTTTCCCTGCCGAACATCTACTAGCTTTGTTGCAAACTGAATCACCTTGGTATGCTGACTTGGCTAATTTCCTTTCCACAGGTACAATGCCTCATGGCTACTCCTCTCAACAAAGGAAGAAATTCCTTTATGAGGCAAGGAGATATTTCTGGGATGATCCTTTCTTGTACAAGCAATGCGTAGATACTATGATTCGACGATGCATTCCAGAAACCGAGGTAAATAATATTATTTCTCATTTCCATGACTTACCATGTGGTGGACATACAGGCCCTTCGAAGACAACGGCAAAGATCTTGCAATGCGGATTCTATTGGCTAACTATGTTCAAGGATGCATATTCCTATGTCAAGGCATGTGATCGATGTCAACGGATGGGCAACATTTCAAAGAAGAATGAGATGCCACTCAACAACATACTCGAGGTCGAGTTGTTTGATGTGTGGGGGATAGACTTCATGGGTCCGTTTCCTTCTTCCTATGGTAACCATTACATCTTGGTAGCCGTTGACTACGTATCAAAGTGGGTGGAAGATATAGCTACTTCAACCAACGATGCTCGTGTGGTAAGTAAATTCTTCAAGAAAATTATTATTCCACGATTTGGTATCCCACGTGTGTTGATTAATGATAGGGGAACACATTTCTTGGAGCATCGGTTTGAAGCAATGCTAAAGAAGTATGGAGTACAACATCGGCTTGGAATTGGCTATCACCCTCAAACAAGTGGCCAAGTTGAAGTATCCAACCGAGAGATCAAGTCTATCATAGAGAAGACAGTTGCAAGGACAAGGAAAGATTGGTCCACAAAGATTGATGATGCATTATGGGCGTACCGAACAGCTTTCAAAATGCTAATTGGTACAACCCCATATAGACTTGTCTATGGGAAAGCATGCCACCTGCCCGTTGAGTTAGAACATTGAGCATTTTGGGCCATTAAAAGCTTGAATTTCGATGCTAAGGCAGCGGGAGAATACTCTTCCTCAGAATTCTCATCGTTGTCACCGGCGTCCCCGCCACCATGGCCACCGCATTCACCACCGTCACTGCCACCATAACCGTCGCCAAACTGAGGACAACCCCGCCATCAACTGACCCAACATCACCGCCCACCGGAAATCACCCTAAACCCACCCGAAGCAACATACCCTCCCTGAAAACCACCCTAAACCCACCCTCAGCGAAAACCACCCCACCGAAATCACTCTGAATCCACCATTTGCGAAAAACACCGCACCCAAATCACCCTAAATCCACCCGAAAAAACCCCACCATCCTCGAAAATCACCCCACCCAACTTGAAAATAGCCCCAGATCCACCATAAAAACCACTAATTATCCCCCCAAACATCTAAAAATACAACCCTTAACACCTTATAAACAACCAATAAACTAGATCTAAAAAAAAAAAATAAGAGAGAGAAGAGAGCAGCAGCGGCGGCAGAGGGGAGGGCAACAACGGCGGTAGGAGCGGAGGACATCGGAGACGGTGGCAGATCGTGAGGAGGGTGGTGGATAAAGTGGTGGTGGTGATGTGGTGGTAAATGAATGGTAAGATTGAAGGGGTAGTGCTAGTTGTAGATGTGATTCTCTTTCTTTATGTAAAACAAACAGCTATACGAACGTAAGGGATTAGCTTTCCTTTCTCCTCCTTTCCTTTTGTTTTTTCCATTCCGTTTACCTCATGCAAACCAAACAACCCCTTAGTATATTTTCATGAATTCCCAACAATTATTTCTCAATCCCATTCCCATCTTTTAATCCCCAACTCCCATTCCCACATTCCAAACGCCCCGTAGGTGAGTTACTAGGCAGAGTTGGATTGAGGGAGTGAGGATTTTTTTTTCTATCATTAATTTATTAACGGGTACTTGGTTACCCGTGATAACCAAATCGCGGCCCATGAAATGGCTATTTTGGCGGGTTGGGTACCCGACCAGAAAAAAACAGGATATTTAGCCAATTAACCATCAGGTTTTTTGCTGGTCATCGGGTAGTTAGGTCAGGTCAATTGGGTTGGGTTTTTTTTTAAACACCCTAATACCATATGTATAAAACACAATACATACATTATCTAAATCAGGGGAGAAGCCAAAAAATTCGAAGTAGGGGCTGACTCTTATATATATACATGTTAGAAATTTGAGGGTAAAATCATAATTATCGGAATGTATAAGTAAGTTATTGTACAATCTTAAATCACCTTAACATCATAACATGTTATAAAACTTATCAATAGTCTTTAACTCATCCTTACGCACTTTGATGGTAAACAACATACTACGATGTACATCACTTTTTATCAATAAGATATGTAGTACGTAATAGAAAATTAGAGTTCATTTAATTTGTGATTTTTTTTTTTACCCTGCATTGAAGTTAGACTATATTAAGTTCAACTTATTTAACTAATCAAATTGGAATTATGAATTAGTGCACAATAAAGATCAAAATTTATAATATTAGTCAAATGGAAAATTGAAATCTGACCAAATTAGGTGAATAGAACATAGACTTAGACATTATTCCTAAGTTGGATATATATGTCAATCACAATTCACTTCACAATAAGTTTTAATCTCATTACTTGTGCTGACTCTATAACCATTTTTCTACATAGGCCTTTTGGATGCTTTTCTAAGCTTTTGTTCTAGTTTCCTAGGCTTTAGAGTTTATATGCAACTACTATATATGTTTTATATCAACCCAAAGTTCACTAGGAAAATATTGTAATTCCAAAAAGAAACTTTTTAGGAAGTGAGTGATTAATAACATCCAAATGCTTCCTACCTAATGTTGCCTTACTCTTATGTATGTGTATGTGTTGTTAGACCTTTATAGATATTATATTGTCATTTTAACACCCCTAAAATCACTAGACATTAAAAGAAAGTTGTAATTCAGTCCCACTTGTGCCTCCCTCGACGACAACCTTGAGATCCAAACGAGAAGCTTGTGTTGATTTGTGCTCACAAGCCCCCTTTTCCGCATAGCGCTTGCATTCGTCCCGTGAAAAGAAAGAGCGTGCTGCATGACTGGTGTCAAAACTTAAAACACTTGAGCCGTGACACCTTTGATGAGAGGATATCCAATAATATTCTTCTTCGACTTTATATAAATGAGTGATATTATTATTTTTTTATTTCAAATAAAGTTATAACTGCTATAACAAGCCTTAAACAAATATTTGTCTGTTTTCCATTAAAATCTTGATTATTCTCTATCCCAATTGTAGTTGGGGGGTCACAATCCCACCTTACACTCTCATATTGTCATATTCTCAAAACGAGCCT